TTTATTATATCTTTTCATGTGACAACACTGAAGAAATTACACTTTGCTACAATGTAAAGTAGTGAGTGTACAGCTTGTATAACAGTGTAAATTTGCTGCCCCCTCAAAATAACTCAACACAGCCATTAATGTCTAAACCGCTGGCCACAAAAGTGAGTACACCCCTAAGTGAAAATGTCCAAATTGGGCCCAATTAGCCATTTTCTCTCCTCGGTGTCATGTGACTCATTAGTGTTACAAGGTCTCAGGTATGTTAAATTTGGTGTTATCGCTCTCTATCATACTGGTCACTGGAAGTTCAACATGGCACCTCATGGCATAGAACTCTCTGAGGATCTGAAAAAAAGAATTGTTGCTCTACGTAAAGATGGCTGCAGAGGTTGAAGGGGTGGGGGGGGGTCAGCCTGTCAGTGCTCAGACCATACACCGCACACTGCATTAAATTGAAGAGGCTCCCAGAAGGAAGCCTCTTCTAAAGATGACGCATAAGAAAGCCCGCAAACAGTTTGCTGAAGACAAGCAGACTAAGGACATGGATTGCTGGAACCATGTCCTGTGGTCTGATGAGACCAAGATAAACTTATTTGGTTCAGATGGTGTCAAGCGTGTGTGGCAGCAACCAGGTGAGGAGTCCAAAGACAAGTGTGTCTTGCCTACAGTCAAGCATGGTGGTGGGAGTGTCATGGTCTGGGGCTGCATGAGTGCTGCCGGCACTGGGGAGCTACAGTTCATTGAGGGAACCATGAATGCCAACATGTACTGTGACATACTGAAGCAGAGCATGATCCCCTACCTTCGGAGACTGGGCCGCAGGGCAGCATTCCAACACTTTACATTGTAGCAAAATGTCATTTCTTCAGTGTTGTCACATGAAAAGATATAATAAAATATTTACAAAAATGTGAGGTGTGTACTCACTTCTGTGAGATACTGTATATTGATATATGCATCTAATACGCTGGTGGTTGTGTGTATTCCATCTGCGGGCTTTCTTTGCAGTGTTTTCCGGGGCCTGTGTGCTTCTGTTCTTTTCTAGGGTAGGTCCTCAGTGAGCTGCCCCCTCTGCTGGATTCAGAAACCGGGTGCTCGACTTGCAGTGGTTACCTCACTCGTCGATGTTGTATCCAGTCGGTATGATAGCCCTAGTTCCGGTTTCATGCTTCCTGAATCGTGTGGCCAGATCACAGGCTTCTGAGGGAGCCTTGTTGATCATCAGGCCCCCGGCACGGCACTGCAAAATTTCCTGGATGTCCGGGCTGGGCTTATGCTTTCAGGCTACCCTGTCTGGTACGCCGTAGCTAGGTCGCCCTGAGGGGCTCCTGGACACCAGGATATCCCCTCTTGCTGAGGGATCGAGCGGAAAGTATAGGTGGCATTTGCGAGAACCTTCTTGTGAAATGCTGTCTTCGGCAGTGCTCCCCTCGCCTCGGGGGGGTTATCTTTGATCTTGCCACTCCCATTTGGCTCAGTGCTGGAAATGGGATGCACCATTTCCATCTCTGGGCTGCTCTTTGAGAGTGCCACGAGAGCCCCTTAGAACGTATCTCTAAAATCCATGTTATGGTAAGTGTGCACGTGTAGTTTTTTTTACACTTTCTAAAATCCACACTGTGGTAAGTTCGCACGCTAGTACTTTGCATTCTTTCTAAAATCCTGTATGGTGAGGGCTACGCGTGGCAGCTTCATGCCCTTTCTTGAGTTGGTTAAAGCCCCGGTTCCACCTTGGGCACCACTCCACCTATGTATCCTCTGGATACCTACTTTAACAGGGTGTTGCTACTAGGGATCTGTTGAGACAGTTCCTTCAGCAAGCTCATGCAGAGCAAGCGGTAGCCCCTGTGTGACATGCCAAGACTTAGTATGATGCTAGGCTCTTGGTCATGTCCCCTTAAAGGAATCTATTCCTGATTCCAAGCCTTGAGCTCTACCCCGGGCCCAGAAGTCTGGCCTTAACAGGCCATTTTTTGGGGTATGTAACCTATGCCTTTGACCGTAGGGGATAATGTCACGGAGAGCAGTCTAACGTCCCAGGGGCAACTCCTGGTTCCCTGAGTAGGGAACGAGACACTGCATCCTCTAGGTTTTTCTGCCATGCTTTGGACGCAAGCTTTAGATGAAGAAGTGGATGACTCATTCTCCCGGCGCCTATTTATACTATAGTCGCACCGGTAGTGACGTCATGGGCTGTCGAGTTTTGGTGTTTTTTTGAATGTATGCTTCAGACACGGGTCACAACGAGGCATTCCCCATAGCGACCCCTAGAGGACGCAGTGTCTTGTTCCCTACTTAGGGAACCATGGTTACATAAGTAACCTGAGACGGTTTATTTAACTGTTTCGTGTAAAATATACAGTACTGTGCAAAAGTGTTAGGCCACTAGTATTTTCACCAGCTAAAAAATGTTTTTAAGTCAGATATTTCTATCTTTTGCTGTAGTGTGTCAGTAGGAAATATCAGTTTACATTTCCAAACATTCATTTAGCCATTAATTGTAATAATCCAGTGAGATTTTTGTTTGCACAAGGAGTCTGACAACAGCCAGTGCTCCACACAGAGATCTGATCTCATCATCATCCAGTCTGTCTGGAATGACATGAAAAAACAGAACAAACTGAGACCGACTAAAGCCAGAAGAACTGTGGCAACGTCTCCAAGACGCTTCAAGAGACATACCTGCAAAGCTACCTGAAAAACTATGTGCAAGTGCACCTAGGGCAAAAGCTGCTTTAAATTAATTCATAAAGAAAATCTATGACATTATTTTTGACAGCATCCTCATTTTACAGCATTTTTACACAAGTGCCTAAAACTTTTAACAGTACTGTAGCTTTGCAGGTAGGTTTTTTTGAAGCCTCTTGGAGATCCACAGTTCTTCTGGATTTAGTCTGTTGCAGTTTGTTCTGTTTTTTTCATGTCTGTCTAATAATCAGATAAAACTGTTAAACAAAGGAATTTAAATGTATACGAACAAGTATTATAATGATTGCTTTTATATTATTGGTAATAGAAAGGCAAACATTATAATACTTTCTCGTTTGTCGTCAACAT